TTAAATTATATTAGACAGAAATATGTAAATAAGGCACATGTGGTGTATTATATCTATCTGTTTTGCATTTAATATATCAGCTTAATGTATACAGCCAGCCAAAGACAATCACGCACAGACATATATATGTATATATCCGTATATGTAAATATATATATATCCTGAACCCTCTTCATATATATTTCTCTAAGTACGTGCATAGAAGTCTTCATGTTTAACTCCAAGTACCTCAAATGCCTCAGGCCACAGCCATCTGTGCCCCCTCCCTCCTTGTTTCACATCCACTTCTCTCTTCTTCGTGCACCCCTTCCTCCACTGCAGCCACCACTGCCATATATCTAATTTATGGCTGTGCTGAGTGTGTAACACACTCATGTATGCATAATATATCACATGTGTAAAAGAAGTGCGTTTCACAGGAGAGTTAGAGTAAGAGATTGGGTTCTGGCTAGTTTGGTCTGGACCACAACGCTCTCCTCAGATTCCAGCAGTGTGTTTGTGTGCATGTGTTTATGTATACATATATAGGGGTGTGCATGTGTGTGTGTGTGTGAAGGCCCAGCTGTTTCTGAGCTCAGCATCCACATGCAGGCAGAATGCCAGATGTCTCATTAGGCAAATTTGATCGGATGCAGCGACGAGACAGTTCCATATGCATGTGTCCATGACTTAAAGTGTGTACATTTACATAAGAGGGCCCCTGGATAACTATTTACATGTGAGTGTTCTCAGTGCATATGCATTCATTAGCCAGTGCAAGAACACTTGAATTTACAGGCTGTTAATTAAAAAGCAATAAAGAAATAACTATGCAATAATTTGATATGAGGAAATGCTGCAACAAAAAGAGCATCTCATGTCTTTAACATCTTGGCTTTCATTCAGTTGTGAGGAGTTTGGCTTGAGCTTGGTCTCTTTTACTGTAAGTGTTAAGCACAAAGTTATTACCGCATGTGCTCCAACTTCAACAGCAACTTTTAACCTTCAGCTTTAACCTCCTTAAGCTTTTAGAAATAAGCTCTTGATTAATTTTCTTTCCATCTTCACATATGACTTGATGTGTTGTAAGCCTCTTCTTCACAACAACTTCAGCTTAATGGACAGAGTTTGGGTTTAAATCAACCAATTATTTCTATTAATACATATAAAACCAAATGTCACTTTCAGTTTGTTTTGCTGTTCTGTTTGTAAATCTATGCTCTTCTGTTAGAAATAATCTCACCAATGAGCATAAGATTCATTCCTTTTCAGTGCCTGCTAAAAGCCACTAACTGGGTTCATTTAGGCATCTGGATGTGGTGATGGGAACTTACTGAGTGAATTTGTACGTGCAACAGTCACTAGTGCCAAACCGGTTGCCTAGTATTTTCCAACCTGGTGAGCAACTGGGATTTTCACACACAAGCATCTCTGGTTTGCAGAGATCGATCTAAAGAACAGAAAATATCCAATCGGAAGCAGAAAACTACACTGGGCGCCACCGCTGCCAGCCATGTACAGGGAAAATGAAGCTACGCATACAAGACGAGGAGAGAAGTTAAGGAAAATGTTGCCTGTTTCAATGAGTCTGGGTCTCAGCTTCAACTTGCAGATGGAAGAATCACAGAAAGGCAGTGATCCATTCTGTCGTGTGTCAACAGTGCAGGCTGCTGCTGCTGGTGTAATGGTGTGATATATATTCCTGACACACTTTGGGCCCCTCAGTACCAACAGAGCATCAATTAAACACCAGAGGCTACCTGACCATGTCCATCTTTGTATGACCACACATATTCTGATGGCTATGAGCAGAAAGATGGTGCTCCATGTCACAAAGAAGAAATAATCTCAAATTGCTTTCCTTTGTTCCTGCTAATTCAACACTTATAGATACCTTGACATTTAATTTTTTTATTTTTTTGCATTTTTTAATTATTTTATTATTTATAATTTTTGATTAAGGTTTGCCATGTTTGTGCAGAAAATGTATTGCATTTATTGTCTATTCTGGAATAATTTTCACAAGGATGTTTTGTTTCAACTCTCCAATACTCCTTTTAATCTACACAGAAAAATCTGTATTTTTAGTATTATTTTAGCCATAGACACTATTTCATTGCATTAACTCATTACCCTTGCAAAAGCATTTCTGTTTTTAAACTTATAAAACCCCATCCAAAATTTTTGTTTTCCACTCGGTGACTTGTTCGTTCTTCGCCTAGGTGACCAGAAACACGAAAACAAAGTTTCTGATGACTTATTTTAACATATTTTATTAAACCTAGAAGTTTGTTTCTGACAGAAGACGAGACAAACAAACTGTCTCTCAAATGATAATGAAACAATGAAACACAAATTAAAAGTTGTTTTTTTTAGTCTATGTTATCCACATCTTTGATATAAAGAATTAAGCTAAAAAAAATAAAACCTGCCGCTCATTAAAATTGGTGGGAAAAAAATAAATTACAGGCAGAACCACTGTAATCTAATTCTTCTAAGTACAGAACAGCTTTTGCATGTTTCCAATGGTGTTTTGAGCATTTATTTTTTGGCGAGAAGCTTCAAGTCCCTCAGTTGGCCTCTTTGCCACCACCATCATCTTTAGCTCACTCCATAGATTTTCTATTAGACTCTGGCCCGATCGCATCACAATTGTTTATGTCAGGAGTAACAGGTTAGTCAAATTAAAACATTACTTTTAACCTAAAATTTGCAACTATTTTATGTTTAGGACTGAAGTCAATGATTGCATTTATTTGGAGAGGTATGTTGATACAAAATATCTATGCTTAAAAGAGCACTTCCCTTAAAGGGACAAAGGTGCAAATATCAATCCATCAAAACTTAAAAAAATATGTTAAAAACTCTCAAAAACCTTCTTTGTGTATATAAGGCCTGTTTTAGAGTTACTGTTACCCTTTCTTAAAATGTAAGACTAATTTGTAATGTTTAATAAGACTGAAGTAATATACTGGGATTCATGAATATGCTATAAAACATTATTGTTCACAATCTTTGTGGGAGAATATTTTGTGTCCAAAGGGACCAAAGATGATAACAAAATTTAAGAAAACAAGAACCTTTATTGAGTTTGCTGCTATGTTCTCCTCTCAGATAAAGGGGTTTCTGAGTCTTTCCACCTTTAATATAGAAGTTAATCACAAAATAAAAATGAAACAACCATTTACTGAACTGCTCTGATTTCCATCTCTAATTTATCCCTGATAATAATGAAACATTATCAAATATTTCATTTTTAGTTAGAGTGGATTTATATTACAATGAACTACCACTTAAAATAAACCTCAAACCACAAAAGAAGCATTATTTCAGTTCAACTTCACTCCAGGCTGTGTTAAAACAATTCAGAAGTCAACTGTAAATACTTCAGTGTGATGCTGCCCTCTAGTGCTGCAGAAGGAAAACATCGCTCTAGAACCACTGAATTAGCAACATTTTCATATTGTTTCCAATAAAATCCACTCTTAGTCTTGAGGCTTTGTGTAAGCAGCTAAAAACCAATAAAATGCTTTTAAACCAAAATGCTTTTAGACATTAAGCAAGTTAAATTGGATAGGAAGACATCTTTATTTGAAGGCAGACATAATGACAGTGCCACAGATAGCATCCATACACAGGTGCGGTTTGATAAATAAAAAAAAAAAAACGTTTTAGCTGCATACATAAATATATAATCTCAAGCATAAACCTCTGAGTTAAATAAAGATGACTTAGAACAATTTTTGACAACCATCTGATGATGTACAATGATAAATAAGTTGGAAACAGCAGTCTGAAAGGAAATAGCAACATTACACCAGTGTATAACTTAAGTCTGATCACAGAAATCTACTTAACATTAGGTGTCCTTGAATAAATAAACAGCTAAAGGCTTAACCGTCATACTAGACAAATCCAACGAAGGTGGTAACTTGGCTGTCAAATTTCCCACTGGTGAACATCTAGCTGAAATTATGAAAAATATCTTTTAAATTTGGCCACATTTATGTTTATCAGTTTTAAAAGCATAAAAAAATTGTTTTGCATAGATCTGAGTTCATCTGATAGCTTCAAAGGCTTTTCTGTTGGACTCAGAGAACATATTGACAAGTCTGAATCAAAACTCAGTAACTATCCTGCAAAATTTAATTTTTACAAACCATAACATCCAATTACAAGGTATAGAGGAGAAAGATCCGCTGTGAACTGAAGCGCATTTATGATTTGTTTTGAATCACTTCTCACACAGAACTACAGCCTCTTATTTATTTATTTACTGAATATATCTTCCCACTTAATGGCTACAAACTTGAATGCGAATTTTGTGCAAATGACCTGCACAGAGTAAATATAAGAAGTAGAAACACAATGTTTTTTAAGGGTTTTAAGCTTTTTCTGTATTTTCCAAATACAGAAAGTTGAAAGTGTTAAATGCACATATATATATATATATATATATATATATATATATATATATATATATATATATATATATATATATATATATATATATATATATATATATATGTGTGTGTGTGTGTGTGTGTGTAAGTCCTCTAGTAGACACCTTTAACACCAAATAGCTGAGACTGTAGGTATGTTTGGGGTTTTGTTCAACAAGCTTCGCACATCTACGAATATTTATTTTTATCAAGTCTTTCTGTAACAGCTCAAGCTCTCAGCGACTAATAAGGAGCGTCTGTAAACATCAACCATCAAGCATTACCATAGCTTCTAAATTTGATAAGACTTGAACTTTGACTAGGCCATGTTTAGATTTCATGTAGTCTTTGGTTCTAAAGTCATAAAATGTGAAAAAGTTCAAGGAGTACAAATGACAATGCAAGGCATTTTACATTAAGACTAAGAGAGAAGCTTTTTTTGTTTGACAAACCCCCATTTAAGCCAAATGCCTTATCTCTAGACTCTGCTTCTCAGTGTGCAGAAATGAGGAGAGGTTGGACCAGAGATTAGGTTTCAGAAAGCAAAAAGCTGTTTGAACCCTAGACAAATATTCGAAAAATCTTTAAAAAAAACACACAAAAAAAACATAGAAACAGAAGTCAGACTCACTAATTGACTGCAAATATGAAGTTGGGGCACACAGGGCAAACTCACAGACATTAAACTTCTCCCTAGAAACACCTAGACTAAGGTTTCCATCAGGGGATTCAGTGATGTCCAAATGCAAATACTACTATGATGCCTTTTTTAGGAAAGAAATAAAAGTTGGCCTAGTAGGCAAATGTGTCACCTGTGAGAACAAATTCTCCTCATGCATGATTTATTGGCAGCAAATTTTGTCACCTCAGGTCTCCTTTTAGCTCTTCATCAGAATCATCTTTAGTTTCTTCTGTTTCAGTACAAACGCTCAGCCTGTCTTCCTGTTCGCTGGTCATCATCTCTTGCTGTATTACAGCTTGAAAGTCAGTTTGCACAGAGGTCTGTGGCTGGTCTTCCAGTTCCTGTTCACACTCTGTGTTCTCACTTGGCATAAAGTCAGCCTCTGTGCTAGTTTCTGTGCTCTGCCCTGTAACACCAGCTTCTTCAGACTCATTTTCTGTCCCACTTTTACTCTTGCTCTTAGTTTCTGTCTCTAGGTTCTGCTTGGCCATCTGCCTGCGAATCGTCCGTCTTTGCACGCTGCGACGTGACTTGTTGCAGTGGAGCGTGCGCCTACGATGCCATTGGTTAATAGAGTGTTGGGCCTCTACACTGAGCTGACGGGCAGCCAACCTTGGCTGGAAGCTGTTGATGTAGAAGAGAGAGGCGTATAGAGTTGTAAGGTAGTAGCCACCTGTGGAAAAGAGAAAACACAGATAAATCGACACGAAAGCTGTGGTTTGGTTGATTGCACTTCAGTTAACATTTTATTGTAAAAATATTTTAGCCTTAGACCTTATAAACATTTATCAAATAAAACTATACTGTTGTAGTCAAATGGATAGATAAAAATTGCAGTTTTAAATAGTCGTTCAAAGCAAATATCTAAAATTGTGGGGGCTTTTATATTTAGCTATTCTGAGGTTTGGTTTAATTGCTACAGCTATAAGGGTCTTAGGGTATGTCTCTGACAGGAAGCAAATGGTTGCACATTATCCAGTTCATGTGCTCTACACAACATTCAGTCATTTACCCATTCAAACCCTGATGGTGGTTAGCTTTAACAATATAGCCACAGTCACACTGGGTCACTTTAACAGAAGTGAAGCTGCAAGACAATCAATGCAACTGAGCCCCTATGATCACCGACAGCTGGGAAAGAGGTAAACCGTCTTGCCCAAAGACATAACGACAGACAAGGACAAAACAGCAATTCACCGGGTACAGGACAACAACCTAGAAAATGTATTATTCTTTGGAAAATAGCTTGAGCACTAATAGTAAATGGCATGTACTTATGTAGCGCCCTTATTCAAGTTAGGAGACTTGACCAAAGCGCTTTACACTACATTCATTCACCCATTCACGCACACGCTCACACACCGATAGTGGCAAGCTACATTGTAGCCACAGCTGCCCTGGGGCTCACTGACAGAAGCGGGGCTGCCGTACACTGGCGCCACCGGGCCCTCTGGCCACCATCAGTAGACAATGCAGGTGAAGTGTCTTGCCCAAGGACACAACGCCACTGAAAGTCGGAGTCGGGGCTTGAACCGTCAATCCTTCGATTTCAGGGCAAACTCCTACATCCAACGCCACTGTTGCCCCTAATAAGTTGGTAGGGGAACATCTGTGGACATCATATATCTTGGCAATAATTTTCTGACAGATTTACATATGTGAACAAAATCGTTCGAACCCCTTGTTTGATAAAGAAAAAAACTCACAATGCTCACAGAAATAATTGAACTATTTAAAAAAGTAAATATGAATAACAATTTAATGAAAATGAACAAATGAAAGTCAAAAATTGTTTTCCATTCATGTTTCCATAGACTGATTTGAAAAATAAGCCTATGAAACAATAATTGACAAAAATACATGGTACCCCTAAAAAAGACTGATAATAATGTGACCAAAGGGACATATCAATTCAAGGTGTGTCTATTAATTAATGTTATATGTGTCTAAAATCTTGATATCAGTCAGTGGCCCTATATATATAGGACTACAGGTGGTACTGCACCGTTTAGTGACATGGTGTGTACCACACTCAACATGGACCAGAGACTTTTCTCAGGAGATATGAAACAACATTTCAGACAAGCATGTTGAAGGGAAAGGCTATAATGCCTTGACTACAGTTGCACATATCATTTAGATTTTTAAGATCCACAACTCACTTCCCTCAGCAGGAAAATTGATGGTAACAAAATGACATTGAAAAACTTCTAAAGAGATTAAAGGTGAACCTCAACCTCAACGAACACCAGTGTCAAATTGCAGGATCTGTAATTGTTTGAGTCAAAGTGCACTTAACAGGAGACGACCAAGGAGGATACCATTGTTGAAAAGAAATCATAGAGAAGCCCATCAGTAATTTGCCAGACATGTTGAAAAACCACTAAGCTTCTGGGAGAATTTCCAATGGCTAGATGAGATAAAAATGGGAGTCTTTGTCGAGCAGCAACTATCTTCACAGATGGAAAGATGAAGCATATCAGTAAAAGGCTCTTTCATTTCCTGGGGCTGGTTTGCTTTATCTGGGCCTCCTGAATCTGCAGGGTAAAATCAAATCTAAAGACTATCAGGCGATTCTAGTGCTGCTGGTCTTCAACAGGTTAATGACCAAAAAACACGCAGCTAGAAAAATCTAGAATGTACCATTCTGAAGGGTCCTTCTGTGAGCCCTGAGCTAAATCCTACTGAGCATCTTTGGAAGGAGCTGAAACATGCCGTCTGGAAAAGGTACCCTTCAAACCTGAAACAACTAAAGCAGCTTGCTTATGAGGAGTGGACCAGAATACATACTGAGATGAACCAAAGTCTGTTCAACTATGACCAGCTTCCCTTTCCTTGATGAAGAAAAGCATCCCCAAAACATGATTCTGCTAAAACTTTCCCTTTGGGTATGATGCAAAGTATTAAGTTAGCTTTCCAAGACACAATAATTTGCATGTTTCTGTGATCTTTACATGGCTTGCAGTAATATGGACATGCTGCAAATGATGCTTCTTGTAGTTTTCTTTCAGCTGTTGTTAACATCATGCCCATGTTCTATGAAGGTCAAAATAGAGGAGTGCACAACTCATGGTTGTCTTGTGAAAATATTCTCTCCATTAAGCTGTGGATCTCTGCAGCCCCTCCAAAGTTACCATGTTCCTCTTGGCTGCTGACATCTGCTCTCTTTGTCAGTCTGCTAAGGTGGACACCGATTTCTCGGCAGGTTTGCAGTTCTGCCATATTGGTAGTTGATGGATTGAGCAGAGATCTGTGACAAGTTCAAGGCTTGTCATTTTGTTTTATGACTATAACTGCAGTAAAAAATGCTTTTTTAGAGTAGTAAATTGAGGTCTTAGACTGGAATTTCCTTATTTGATCTATTTTGTGCAGTACTGCTAATTAAAATCAAAATTAGGTAGTCTGGATTTTAAAGGGAACGAGTTCTAATGCTATAAAATACTTTTTAAATGTATTTTGCAGGTCTCACCTTCTCCCTGTAGCTGTGTTGGGTCCAGCAGCTCCATCATGTAGTCAGTGTCCACCTGTAAGCTGATCAGGTTGCTACGGAGCAAAACCCAGGTCAAACACGGTAAGAAGTCATCTGCTCCAAACACTGTACCTGTAGAAGAGGAGCGTTTCAGGAAACAACGACATCCCTGTATACAGCTCATCATTTCAGACTGGAATACCAATAAATGCAAAGCTCTGCAAACAACAGCCTACCTGTGCTAGAAGTGGCATTAGCGCTCATGCTGTGGTAAATGCTCTTGCAGACTTTGAGAAGAATCTGGATCTTCTTGTTTGGAGAGTATGCTTCGTGCATACTTGCCCATCTCTGTTGTATTCTGTCTAATGTAAGAGGATCAGGGACTCCTACTCCTTTCGATCCACCAAGTTCTTCGACCCCATTCTTTTCTAACACCAGGAAGTTTCCTTGAAGGCGTTGGAAGCTGCCGTCGTTGGTCCGGGCGGTGTGAATGCAAGAATAGAGATGGGAGGAGACGGGTTTCAAGGCCACTTTGTGGAGGGTGATCTCCACCAGGGAGTCTAGAGAAGGATTCAAAGACATATTAGGAGAAATCTACACTGGGAAATAATGGATTCGGATGGTAGACATGGTGGTTAACAGTACTTTAGAATAAGCATTGGTTCACTCACCAATTTCAGGGTCATTTAAGTCCGTAATACTATCCAGTATTGCCTGAATGTCTGGATAGTCCAACAGGATCTCCCTGAGCGATGAAAGTGATGACCTCACTTCCTGTAGGAACTCTGCTCCCATCGGCCCACTGGGATCAGAACCACCCTTCAGAGTCACCTCTACAAATGATTTCACCGTCTCTCCAAAAGCAGTTCCTTTCCTCTCACTCAGCTCTACCACTCGGTTGGTCAGCCGTTTCTTCTGGGACACCAGTCCACCGAGTGCCTGGCCCACAGCTGACAGACGGTGCATGACCTTATCAGCCAGACGGTGTGCTGAAGGGTGGTGGGGTGTGGGGCTAGCTATTTGGGTCTCCTGCTCTTCCTCTATGCTGCTAATCGACAGTGAATCAAGCTCCAGGGATGGTGGCTGGAGCAGAGAAGAAGGCCTTGGTGGAGGCAACCAAACTCCATCTTCAATCCATGAGACCCTGTGAGGTGACTGAGGTACAGGACTACTGTGACGGTGCTGCTCAGGCGTCCCTGGTGTGGTGGGAGTGGAAAGGCTCCCCGTGCTTGCTCTCTGATGGATGGAGCATGTCAAATCCCGGCTCGGCCTCCTGAGGACCACTTCAGTTGGTGTTTGTGGGGTGAGTGGGGAATCAGCAGACCTGGCTCTGGTCAGACCTGTATAATAAAAACACCACACTCTCTTCAATGAACGCTTTTCCACCTGTTTAAAATTTAGCTATTATGTTTTAAAGCATTTAGATCTGACCAGAAGCCTCTGTGTTGGAATATTTGGATTCCTGGTCCAATGAGGTGGCTCGTTTGCTTTGTATCCCGGCCCCTGCCCAGGTCCGAGTGGTGCTTAGGCGTCGTTCTCGCCGGATGTGTGACAGCTGTAAACCCGTCGGCTTGTGAGTCAACCACTCGTCTCCATGTTCATGAATGTAGAGGGGATTTATGATACACAAGGCTCCATTGGAGGAAGTCAGCTTTATAAAAGAACAAAAACAAGCAGATAAGCAGAAGTTATTAAGAGACAGATGGAGCAGAATGTTGTTTATTTAAGCTCAGTTATTGACAATGTTTATTCTGTCGTCTGCATCCTGAGACCACCAAACATTTAAAAAATGATTGATTAAAGGTGATTGCTACAAGTTTAACTTCTCCCTGTCACTAAGCGGCTCATTTGGGCTAACCAACTTTTGTTCTGTACTGTTTGTCAGCCAGTTACCAAGTCTAATGCAAACCAAACATCTAATTTAGTTCAGAAAAGCAGAAACTTCTGCATGCTTTCTAAGCCTCTTTAATTCCTTAACTTAGCAACAACACTCGATAGCTTGACGAAGTTTTCTCTCTAGTTTTAGTTTTTTTTTTGTTTTGGCTTAAATCTAAGAAAATGTAACTCTAAGAAGAAGCCATTTTTCACCACTACCACGGAGCTATTACAAACTAATTATGTCAGGGCCCAAGTGATTTCAACCTACCAGTGTGGAGAATCGTTTTGTATCATTGGCAACCAGAATCTATAACTAGAGGTAAATATGTTTATATGTTGAACCCATCAAAATGTAGAAAATAATTATTTAGATTCTGAATATTTCCCAGTAAAATTATAATTTTTATTCTAGATGTTCTCAAGATGTTGTATAAATGTATTATTTTAAAAATATTTATTGTATAACAGTTGGAAGAACAGTATTGTTATCACTAATGTAAAACCTTCAGTTAAGTGGCTTCCAGTTCCACGGAGGCATTTTTTTCAATAAAACAAATGCAAAAACCAAAAGGAAAAATATCCCATTTACATGTTAAAGCAGCTCAAATGTAGGGCTCCAAAATGATTTTGAGAGTAAAAACATGAAATCACATTTTTGTATTTGAAAGCAGAATTAATAATATCAACTATTATTAACCAACATCAATCAACACAGTGACCATACCTTTCTCTGTTAGCTTAAGTATCTTCATCATTAAGATTTATATTAAGGTTTTGCCTCAAAGACTGAAAACATTAACACATCTCACAAAAATAAGAGGTTTTTTTAACGTGTTGCATCTGAAACAATATAGCCCATAAAAAAAATGTCTGATTGGGATTCCTATTTGATGTGTGGCACAACTCCACTTTACTCTAATCTGGAGCTATTTGCTGGTTTGCAGCACTTTTGCTTTGCAGGAGGAAAATGGTCCTGGGATGGATGGATGGATGGATGGATGGATGGATGGATGGATGGATGGATGGATGGATGGATGGATGGATGGATGGATGGATGGATGGATGGATGGATGGATGGATGAAATCATCTAATGAATATGCATATCACAAGTATTTGCAGTATAATCATAAAAGGGTAAGCAGCTTTAAAGGAATAGTACACCCAAAACATGATTAGCCTTCATTTTCTACTCACCCCCATGCTGAACAACACTCTGGAGTACTTTTTTGATATCTCAAATGCATCTGGAGATCTGGGAGGCTTCTTGCTGTCTGCTGACATTCAAATAATGGAGGTCTATTGTGCCCGAGACAGAAAGGTCCATAAGAGTCCACAAAAATGTTTAAATATTCCTCCATACTGCTCGTCCAATGTATTCCAAGTGTCCTGAGTGGGTAGCATCCAGAATTTACTCGAAACGAAGTCATTTAGAATGTTTTTAGAGCATAAACAGTAGTGTATAGGATTTCCTGAAAGCGCGCACATGCGCGTTCACGACGCTACGGAAGCCGCGGCAGACCAAACCAGATGAAAGTGCGCATTCAGCTCGGCAAAGAACTCATGCTCTTCCTCAACAATGAAGTCCTCAGACTTCATTGTTGAGGATTTTGACAATTTTTCTTTCGCTGTTTCTTTCTTTGCACAGGTAAACAGCACATTTCTGCTTCTACGCTTGCATTATTGGCAGAGCAGACGCTGAATGCGCACTTTCATCTGGTTTGGTCTGCCGGCTTCCGTAGCGTCGTGAACGCGCATGTGCGCGCTTTCAGGAAATCCTATACACTACTATTTATGCTCTAAAAACATTCTAAATGACTTCGTTTCGAGTAAATTCTGGAAGCTACCCACTCAGGACACTTGGAATACATTGGACGAGCAGTATGGAGGAATATTGACACGTTTTTTTGTGGACTTTTATGGACCTTTCTGTCTCGGGCACCATAGACCTCCATTATTTGAATGTCAGCAGACAGCAAGAAGCCTCCCAGATCTCCAGATGCATTTGAGATATCAAAAAAGTACTCCAGAGTGTTGTTCAGCATGGGGGTGAGTAGAAAATGAAGGCTAATCATGCTTTGGGTGTACTATTCCTTTAAGTCTATAATTGTTAGGATTCTGCAGCATAGGTTATCTGATCTTTACCTGAGCATGTAGAAATGTCATATTTACCTTGCTAATGCTACTCTGCAGAGGCTCTATCTGTACTCTCAGGCTCGCTCGTCCCTGAGTGTTTGAAGGGGCTCTCACAGCAAGGTGGTCTGACCAATCTTCTGATTATTATAGCAAATAATTGTTTGATGGGCTCAGTTCACTCAGAACCAGAGGGAGAAATCACAGCAGCAGAAATTAAAATGTATACCCTGTTAAACAGGCCCACTATGCAAAGTGTGGGTGCACTGTATATGCATGGTGCAATAGGAGGACTAGCGGGCTAACGGTTAGGGCATAGAGCTTGGAATTATGAGGTTCTGAGTTCTAGCCCCACTCCCACAGACTGCAAGTCTGGGTCCCTGAGCAAGACCCTTAACCTCACAATGCTCCCTGGGCGCGCCACGATGGCAGCCTGCTGCTCCCTAATGTGATGGGTTTAATCCAGATGTAAATTTCTCCAATGTGAGATTAAAAATAGTTAAATTATATGGATGGAATTTTCTTCCACTATTGTTGCAAGCGAAGAACACTTTTGAAAATAGAAATTTGAGAAAAAAAGCAATCTAGAAATATAACTTTGAAAAATATATTTTTTTATATTAGTTTTTTCAAGTTTTACAAATAGTATTCTTTTTAAAACAGTGCTTTACAGATCATATCCTATTCAGTGTTGGGACTTTTCTCTGGACTGAGGTGCATTTCTAATGGTTTAAATATAGATTAGCAACAACATTTTCATTGGTCAATTTAAGTGTGAAGAGTGAGCAATTGTTTGGGCTTCAAGTAAAGAGAATATATCTAAAAGAGCTATTTGAAAAGAATGCAATTCGTAAAACTTAATCTGAAAAAATAAAAAAATAAAAATCAGTAAAAGATATTTTGAAAACAATTATTTTAAAAGCATTTTTTTGTAGAAAATATACAAATCTATCTTCAAAAATACCAACCGAGAGAAAACAACAAAGTTGCTCTCAAAACCTTTTTTTCCAAATAAGATGCTTTTCAAGGTTCATTTCTGGATTGCAAATTTTATATACTCTGTTTTTAAGTTTCCATTTTCAAACGATGTCCTTTGTTTGCAGAAATAATGGAACAAAATTACCTTAGAAGAAACCCTGCCCTAACATAAAAGACAATATTTAAGATACTGAAAAAAAGAAAAAAACATCATAACAGCATCAGACAGGAAGTAGGCTTACTCAGTGCAAACCTTCAATTACTTGTAATGTGGTAGAAAAATTTTGGGATCCTCATCAGTTCCAAAGTATAAAGCAAAAACATTTTTCTCAATTTAAAATCAACCAGTAATCCTGCAATAAGTTTTCCTGCAATAAGGAAAAGCCTGCCAAACCTTGTTTACTGAATTCTTACAAAATGCATGGAAATACCTAAAAACTTAACTAACAACCATTTGGAGACGTTGGAAGGGTCTTGCTGCAGATCTGCAGTGTCAGGACGCTTTGTTGCAGACCTGCACAAATAGGCAGAGATGGGAAGTAACGAAGTACAAATACTTCGTTACTGTACTCAAGTAGATTTTTCTTATATTTTTACTTTATTTTACTACTTATTTTTATGGCGACTTTTTACTTCTACTCCTTACATTTTTACACAAATATCTGTACTTTCTACTCCTTACATTTAAAAAAATTGGCTCGTTACTTTAGTTTTGAATCATTTCAATGGAGTTACAGTTATTATTTTTCATGTCATCAATACCAAATTCAATCTAATTGGATGGGAATCTACGTTGCATTTGACGCACCACTGCAAGATGAATCGACAGATTCGGCGGTATTCATTCGCGGCAAATCATTGCAGCTTGGTGGCGGTGGCGTTAGCATAGTAGCATGGACGACGAGATGATTGAAAATGAACACAACGGAGATCTAGTCCTATTGGCAGACATCCATTTGAAATGTAGGCAACGGCATGAAAAAAGTGGTTTCTACTTTTACTTTTATACTTTAAGTAAATTTACAAGCCTGTACTTTGTTACTTTTACTTGAGTAAAGAAGTTTAATCAGTACTTCCACTTTTACCAGAGTATTTTTTAACACAAGTATCTGTACTTTTACTCAAGTACGGAAAGTGAGTACTTTTGCCATCTCTGCAAATAGGTCTCCTGCAATGTCAGGACTGGAAGTTTATTTCAGACATTTTTTTCGAAGCCTTTAAGAAAATAATATGCTATTGTAAGAAGAAGACAAATTTTCCTTTTTACGAGGTAAGTGCTCACTTAAATGTGCCTTTACGCTACTTTTTCCAACTCAAAGACCAAGAAAATCTTGTTTTATCACATAATTTTTGGTTGATTTTCTTTTACTTATTAGACTTATATATAAACATTTGAAGGTTTATTGGCTGTTTTGGTCTTGTAGTATCTAGGTATTCAAGCAATTTATATATATATAAAAAATATATAATGTGTATATATATAGATAAAAGTTATTAACCAGATGATTATTTCTGTTGATGATTATATTTCTATTGTGCGGACCCAGGAAATTAACATGGGAATGTAAATTATTTCCAGTATACTAGCTTATTATCTTATTTTGCTTTAACATTGAAAGGCTTAAAATCGTCTTCTGGTTCTGACAGAGCAGGACACCTCACAGTGCAGTTCTGCAACAAAGGGTCCTGACAGTGCAGGTCTTTAGCCAGACTCTCTTGGACATTTCTGAAAGTGGCTAAAATAACAGCATGTCCTGTTCTCTTGAGCTGAGATTATATTTTAGCGGATATGTTACTTTCAGAGTTCCTCCTCTAGTTTCTCAATGAATGTTTTGTTCTTCACCAGCATTTGAGCGGATCAGTGGACGTTGAACTTCCTCACTGAGCAAAAACAGAGAAGTTGTTCCTTCAGTGAGTTATCATTGATACAGACTAACACACCTGTATGGAGCACATCACGTGGCTTGGCTCCTTTTGGGGCACTTCTTCTGTCTGATACTCAGGCGGTGGGGACAACCAAGTATCTGTAATGCAAAAAATAAATAACTTTGCTCAGTTTTAGTAAATATTACTGTACTTTTGTATTTTTGATATTGGAAAGTGGTACAAAAAACTCACTAGGTTCAAGCTGGGAGAGATGATCTTTGATCATCTCACTTTTGCTGTAGATCAAACTGGGAATGGACAGGCAGACAGCCAAAACATCCCTGGAAACACACACATAAAGAGACAGATCATAAAGATTCATACAAGGCCTTGATAAAGTATTCATACACCTCTAAAAAACCGGTGAACATTTTTTTGAAAACACAAAAAGGACATTAGCAAATAGAGAAATTCGATGGACAGACAAACACAAAAACTAAACGAAGTAAAGACAAAAATGAAGCAATCACAGAAAACCGAAAGCATCAAAGTCGACACGTATTCCAGAGAAAAACCATATAAATAAATGATGCTAACGCACAAACAAAAGCAAAGGAAAAATGCTGCAAGTAGGAAAAACAACTGTGGTTTAAGAAAAGCTGCAAACTATAACTGTCCGAGGAATACTGTTAAGATGTGTAACAAGGCCCTCTGTTTAGAGCAAAAGGTAACTTTTTGTACTACAATAAGAAATCGTCCTGAAAAAAATGTACTGTACATTTCATACCGTTCCTATAGTTAAACATGATGGAGGAAGCATTATGCTTTGGGCCTGTTTTCCTTCATCAGGGATAAGGAAGCTGGTATGAGTTTAAGATATTTCATACAATAGAGCATTTGGATCAAAGTTCAGATCGAAAGCTTTCATGGCAAAATCAAAAAAGTTGTTCACAGATACTCTTCATCCACTCTGACCAAGCTCGTATTTTTTTTTTTTTGCAAAGTGAAAAAGAAGAAGATGAATATAAGTGTATGTCACACTACCAGAAGTGATAAAATTCATGAATAATTTTGCTTTCACTTCATAACCCTGTGGCCCTTTCTGAAAAAAAAACAGCCTTAACTTCAACACACCTAGATAAGAGAAAAAAGGCCAGGTGTTAAAACAGTGTGAATACTTTGCAAAGGCTCTATAATACTATGTTAAAATGTATTTAAGTCGTTTCGTAAGAACTTAAAGTAGCTATTTGCAACATAAAACTGAAAATGTTTTAAAGAGAACTTTTAAACATCTACCAAAAATGTTGTAAATATCTGCACTGCAAAAAATCTAAATCTATAGAAGTCATTTTTTCTTAAAATAAGTGCATTTGGTCTTGAATTGAGGGGGTAAAAGAAACATTTTGCCAATGGAACAAGACAATTTACACTTAAAATAAGAAAACACAATTACATTGTCTTATTTCAAGTGCATATTATCTAATTATCTTATTTTAAGAGTAAAATTACTCATTCAATTGGCAAACTACCTCATTTACCTATGCAAATTAAGGGTAAATACACTTAATTTAAGAAATTTTTACTTATTTCTAGATCGTTTTTGCAGTATGGAAATTTGACCCAAGTGGTAAAGTTGATTCTTACCTGGACAGAGAGTAGAAAAGCACCAGCTGAGGCAACTCTGAGAAAGACAGACGAGACGCAGAGACCTGGAAGGCTATTAGAGAAAAACAGAGAAAGAGTGGGCAGCTCAGCGTTATTACATGTTTAAAGAAATGTAAATTCTGGGAAATACTTTAAACCTGATAGAGGAAGTCTGAAAAGAGGACTTCTGCAGAAAATTTGCTGTAACGGCTCGAGCAGTTTTGCTTGCTGCTTTTTTTAAGATGTGGTATTTTTTTGTTTTTTTTCCTGACACTGGATTGTTTCTACTAAGCAGGTTTCAGAGAGGGTCAGCTGATTCTTTCATTGCTAGTTTTACAGTTTCGCATCAGCATCACCTGCAAACACTCATCATGGGCTTTATTTTCAGGTATTTTAAAATTTCATTTTACAGGAATTAAGAATTAAAAAAATTATTTATATTAACAGCAGGATCTGGCTACACAAGTAAAAATTCATTGTGATTTTTTTTTGGCAGACACAAAAAGTATTCACTCCCCCACAGATCATCAGGCCTTTGCAAAATGGTTAACGGCAGCCTGCATTGTGCTGTTTGGAATCTTCTTCCTGGTCTAACAAACAATCATGTCTGGTCAGTAAGTTCAATGACCCCCCCCCAAAAAAAAATTTAATAAATAAATAAAAATCAACACTAACAATCATAATCTGCAGTGAACTGGAGACAATGAAGATGAAAGAGCTCAGGCACAGCTGAACGTTCTTAAAGAAAGAAATCCATCACACATATAAAAGAATAATGTTTGTTAATGTGAAGTTTCGAAAGCCCCGGCATCAAATCTACAGATAGTTTGTCAGCTATGTTTAAAAGCAGGGTGATAGCCAAACAGCTCCAGATTATGCATCTAATATTCATCCAGAATTAGGCCTTATTATAGCTTGTTCATAGAAACAACAACAAAAACAACGGCTGGGATAACGGTGAAATCTTTTTATGTATAAGTACTATTATTGAACAATTGAGTGCATCAGGCAGTGGTTTAACAGATGACATCATTGGCCTGTTTACTCATTGGTTCAAATAATCTCTTTAAGAGAAACTCAAGGGACATCATGTGACTGGATTCCACCCAGACAGAGTCCTGTCTCGTACCTGTCCCGGTGCAGTTCATGTTATAATCCAGAACTTCTCCATTCTGATCCCCTGCAGAAACACACAGTAGGCAGGGCTGAGACGTCACAGAGTCCCGTACGACCAGGAAACTCTGCAGGGAAACACAAAGTGACTCATTTAGCTGTCTGAAGTGTGATTGAAGCGCGCTGAGCACTAAGACGCTTCATCTGAAACACCAACACACACAGACCACGCAGCGGGGCTCCATGGCAACCAGACCACAAGAAAAAAGACACTGAAGGGTGGGTATAAAAAGCTGACACTGTCATTGTGTGGTTTTTTGAAAGCGGCAGCAGTATGTCTTTTTTAGCGACACTGATGTTCTGATCTCTCAGACAAAGACTTAAACACATAGTGTGGATATGTGAAGATGCTATCAGTGCTGCAGTCTACTTTAATGGGGGGGCTGTGACACAGACACGGCTTAATATCTCTCAGCCTTTCTACTCAATAGATACTACAGCAAGATTGATTAAATTATGCATTTCCTCCTCAGCTAATTATTCTACTCAGTTAAATATTCTACCATTCTTATTTTCAATTATTTTAAAAACACTTTAAAAGCAGAAAACAGGAATGTTAAATTATCAATAAGAAGGATCCTCAAACAGAAATATTATTTACAGTCATTTTTATATTCCACACAGTCATGGCAAAGAATGATGACTTAGCTGTGAAATCCTCTGCAAGGGAGGTTTGACAAGAAATTTCTCTTCTTATAAGGTGGAGGGCTTGGTATGCTTGTGGAAAGTTGAGTGGAAGGAAAAAAAAATGTCAGATAAGCTTTCACAAGCAATGGGAGGTTTTTTTTCATATGGATCCACCCTCTTTGCTAGGAAGCCTCCAACTGATGCAACCAATAGTCCCATTATTATTTAAATGAACTCCTCCTGTTACCCAGTCCAGCATTAAGCAGAAAAAGTGACGCCTTGATGATGTTGAAAAGTACAAACCAGGGTCAGGTTAGAAATAAAAATATTTGATGTTCTTCTACAGAAAAAAATAGTTCAGCAGATCCTAATGAAAAGCAGATACAAAAACAAACCTGCCAAGAGAGGGCCGCCATCCAAAACTCACAAACAAGGTAAGGATGGCATAAATCAGAGAGGCAGGAAAGGGAGCGTGGAGAACCCGAGGGAGCTGCAGGCTTTCACAGCAGAGACCAGAGTATCAATTCATAACAACAAATCAAAGAGCTCGACCTTAACCTCTTACACCCTAAGGGGGTATAAATAAATTTCTGCCTGACAAAAACACACAAAAGTAAATAACTTATAGCCTCACAGCTATTAGATTTAAGAAGAAACTTTTGGTACGTCTGTAAAGGTAAGATGTCATAGAATGGTTTTCTGGTGTCAGCACCATTGTAGCTTTGACCCTGCCTGAAATATTAGGGACAAAATACAAAATATTTTGCAATTTTGAACCTCGCCAAAATTTTCTTTGAAATAAACATTGCAAAACAATACCAAAATATTATTTATAGCACAAAAAAGTAGTACAGACTTTTAAATCTAAATGTTGTGTAAAAATATACCAAATTTGGACTCAATCAGATGAATCATATTTATTTTAGAATGGTATTAGTGAGAAATTTCTTAGGCGGAGGGGCCATTTTGGCACATTTATCCAAAAATGTCACCAAACTGTGCCAAATGTGTTTTTTACATCAATACTGGGGGTTTGTTAAAATCACGAGGTCACGTAGCAGCTGGACCCACCGGTGGGTCCTTAGGGTTCTAGGGGTTAAGGAGGAGCCAGAAAAAACCTAATTTGGTAATATAAATAAGTTTGTCAAAGACATTTTGGCGACTCCCCTAATTTATGGAGTAAGGAAAATGCAAACCCTGCATGTCATCAGCACAAGAATGACATTCCTACAGGAAAACAAGATGGTAGAAGCATCAAGCTGTAGGGATGCTTTTCAGCAGCAGACATAGAGAGTCTGGTCCACATCGAGAGAAAATGTGATTTTGCCGAGTAAAGAGATATTCTGAAAAAAAAAAAAAAAATAATTTGATTTGATTTGACCCTGAGAGAAAGGGTCTGCTCCCAGCAGGTCAGTGACCCGAATCTTACTGCTGAGTAAGGTGGTGTGAGCTGTTTGGCAGCCTCAACGTTTCTGTTAACTTATTGGATTCAAATGTCTTTCGATTGAGTGCATGTGCTGATAAACAAACTGTTCAAACTCTCAAACCCTCCATGTTAAAAGGAAAAAAAAAAAAACATGTACCAAGATACCCCTGACTTTTTCTGATTGTTCTTAACCTGAAATTGTTATCAGCCAACGAAATTCAAGCTTTGCACGATCTCCAGATTTTTCAGTGGTCACATCACTTTGATTGGTGCATCTAAAAAGATGTAATAGATGCTTGGTAAATATAATTTACTTTAAAAGATCATAAAGAACAATGTTCAAGTTAACATCCCTCTCCTCATTTGAAACACCGTCTCTGAAAAAGAAATGCCTATTTTGCTAAAACAACAAGGATGAATCTATATTTTTAATGCTGTAGGAATTTGAACATTTGGAGTTTTTCTTTGGGAATTTTTCTGGAACAGCAACATAGGTTAAGATTATAGGTCAGTTTAACAGCATTTTAAAGCCACATCACTGGTTCAACCTCTTTATCCAACATATTGACACCTGGATTATTTTTTTGTCAAGAAGAAATTGTGATGTCTATTGTTTTGTGCACAAATACCAATTCAGAAAAAAAAAGGGACGTTTTTTCTGATATACATACATATATATATATTTATATATATCTTAGATGCAGAGGTGTCAAGTAACGAAGTACAAAACTTTCTTTACTTTACTCCTTTACTTATTTCTCTTCCTATTTCTGACTTCTACTCATTGCATTTTCACACAAGTATCTGTACTTTCTATTCCTTACATTTTTAAAACAAACGTTACTCGTTATTTTTGGCTTCGGTTTAATTTTTATAAATATTTATTTCACGTCATGTGCGCCATCCAATGCAGATCATTGGCTCCATCCACATCTAGTGAAAACTAGTGTAATTGGATGAGTCATATAACGCAAACACTCAAGGAAATCATCAGAAGCAAGCAGGTGTTCTTCAAACTGCAAACATGAATCCTCTATGCCATGCTACAATGTCGGATTCAGAAAAAGATGTCGAAATGTCTGAAAGGTTGGACACAGGCGAGAGCGTATCGGGAGATGGAGACCAACAAGACCTTCCTCATCCTTGGCCCTATCTCAAAGAATTTTTCTAAATAGTCAAAAAATTTAGCTTTTAATTCATATAGCGGCATCTAGCTGTTTTTTTAAAGGGTACTTTATGCTTTTATACTTTAAGTAGTTTTTGGAGCACATACTTTTTCACTGTAAAGAGGGCAAGTTGATACTTCAACTTTTACCAGAGTGTTTTTAAACTGCCGTATCTATACTTCTACTTAAGTAACATATGTGTGTACTTTTGACACCACTGATCAGATGATAGCTTGTCTCAGTAACATGCATGAAGAGCATTGCTCAAAGCAGGAAGTTTTGAAAAAGTTTTGAATCTTCATCATAAAAAGCAGCATTTTGAAAAACTGAATCACCGATTTTAATATTTATACCAAAAATAAAGGATTAAAAATAGAAACTGTTGCATCATCTGTTTTTTGTTTTTTTCTTTTTCCTGGAAGCAGACACAACAAGCATTTTAAGCGGTTGGTTGAAAAACAGTGGAGTTGTGTAAGAAAAAGCACATCCATATAGCAATTAAACTCAGCTTAGAGGTGTTCCTACACACCAGAAAGCATAAAATACTAAAACAATGCATGCAGGAAGTGGCTTTTAGACCAGAAAGCACAGAAATAAAGACAAGATCACTTTGAGCCGCTCAACTTTGAACACGGAGAGATGCAGCAACACAGACAACGTTCGCATGAGACTGTTTGGTCGATTCACAACTGCCCAACAGCCGAATCATTTCTAGCTCTTTATCTATCTCACACCACAACCTCCACAACCCAACACCACACAGATGCTACAGAAAAAGTCTTCCTTTGCTTTAATTGGTCCGGTTGATAACCTGATGCTGCAGCTCAACGTTTTGCTTTTCTTGCTAGTTTGAAATGATCCTGATATAGAGAGAAAAAGTATTTTGCTACTCACAGTGCCTTTCCACCGTTGGTGCATTCATTTTGTAATGTCATTTCCCTGATAGGCACACGATATTATTCAACAGTACTTCTGCATTTGGCCTAAAAAGGAGTCTGTTTTATTTTCAGATGTCAAACAAAAAAGGGAACTGTTGATGTCATAGCGAGAGTTGTTCATAAGCTGACCAGGATCAGAGACCCTTTGAGTTAAAACAAGACTTGGACTACAGAACTAAGCAGAGAGGACATGAGTGGGCCAGAATAAAAGAGGACTTAGAGACAGAGGATATTTAAAGGGATCAGAAATGACTATGAGGAATAAAGAAGTTACAGACTCTGTTTTTAAAAGCTTCTTAGACCGGTTCAAACATAACTAAGCTGATCAACAGCCTTACAAAAGCAAATAGATAAAACACCCAGATGAAACATAAGAAGGTGGTATAGGGGAAGGAGCTCTGGTCAAACTGGAATTAAACAAAACTTTTTGACCACTGCAAACCAAACACAACGAACAACACCATTCCTACTGTGACACATGGTGGTGGCAGCATCATGCTGTGGGAATGCTTTTGAGCAGCAGGGACGAGGCTGCCGAGCCAGTCATGAAAAAAGGGTACAGCTGCATTATTGTAAGTGCAGCTAAACCCAGAATGTTTGTGTGGAGACTAAAAAGACTTCTAGCTGCCATTGCACAACTGTTTGAGTTACACTAAAAGTTAATTTCCCTTTGAGATTAATAGAGCTCAGCGTTCTGTTCACATGGCTAGTTAACCCTTTATATTCACTCAGTGAAATACTTGGAAATTCAAACTTTCAAGTTAATTATGTTATTGGATGACAGACCTTATTACTATTGTAATATTGAAAAATAAGTATTTTCATATCACTTGCCCTAATATGAAAAAAAAAACCCAAAGAGTACTTCCATAAGAAATTCATAAAGCAAAAAATAAAATAAAACACGTAATTTTTTTTACAACATAACCCATTATTGTTGATAAAGGAACTTATGTTAACTAATTTTCAACTTAGCATATTAACCTTTTTCAAATTAGCTATTTAGCTTTTCAGTTAGTTTATTAAGTTTTTTACTTAGGACAGAAAAGCAATCCGGACTCGGCTTCCTAAAGCATTTCGATACTAGTTTGCTGGTTTGTTGGGTCTTTATGCTACTACCTCCTCCTGTTTCATCTTGTGGGATAATGTCTGGTTGATGCACTGATGTCATTCTTTTAGGTTCAAACATAAAACCATCATTCTTCAAAATGTTCAGCTCCATTCTCAGCTTACATGAGCACACACTTCTTTTCTTTATTCATTTTTACACGATTTCAAATCATGGAAATATAGAAATGAAATTCATCTGAACCCAATTTAAAAGTAATTTTTTCTTAAAATAATTGAATTTCTTTTTGAACTGAGGAGGTAAGTAAGAAAGTTTGCCAATGGAACATGGCAATTTACATTTACAATTAGAAAAAACAATTGCAGTGCATATTAAGTGAAATACACCTAATTTATGAAATTTTTACTTATTCCTAGATGGTTTTTGCAGTGTAGACAAGATCATCTTGTATCACTCAATTCAGAAAGTCAACAATGTTTATTTGAATAGATTTATTATTGGTCGGTTAATGAATTAATCTTTTAAAACTCCTCTGCAAGTGTCTCAGGGGGCTGGCGCTGATATCTAGCAGTCTTTGGGCAAAAGGCAACTTGTCTCCACCCCATCAGAGTCAAAAAGATCAAAATATATATTTTTTTGTTCTATAATTTGCATTTTATGCACTTTGTTGGAGGATGGCCAATTTGCCAAATGTCCAACAGCCACAAGGAGATAATGGCACGATTGGTTATAGGAAATTCTGAGCTGAATAGGAACATATTTCTAAATGGTTAATAAGGAGCAGGACTGTTGATCAGTGCTCCTAAGGTATCTTCTCAGATTAAAGCAAAGGTTGAGTTTTAATTCATAATCAAGCTCCTTGAGAAGGAAGACTACACAGGCACACATAATCCAGGTTCCCGTCGTAGCTGATTGGGGCACCATGTCATCTGCTGGTGTTGGTCCACCAGGTTTTCCAACCAGCACAAAGTAAATCTACAGAAAAAAAATCCATTCACCTACAAAGAAATTTAGAGCACCTCATCCTTCCCTTTTTATTGAGACGCTGATTTTATTCTCCAGCAGGACTTGGCAGGTACCGAGTAACAAAAGCTGGTTCAGTGACGATAGTGTTACTTTGCGTCATTAACCACACCTGACCTGACCGGAACCACAGAGAGAATATCTGGGATTGTGGTCAGAAAGCGAAGGAAGTGAAGAAAAAGATGAGAGGCACTGAAACCAACATTGCATAAAAACGACCTGGGCCTCCATTACATCTCAGCAGAAACACAGTCTGATTTTTTCAACGCCACAAAGTACTGATGGAGTATTGCATTCAAAACGAGGCAACAACAAAAAATGAGACTGATATTTCTGTTTAAAATGTAATTTTCACTGATATAATATCAGTAATATCACAATTTTCTAAGGCGCTGACTTTTGGGTTTTCCTGATCTCTTCGCCACACTCATCAAACAACTTTAGTTATTTTAGTCTACATGCAATGAAACTATAAAGGCTAATATCTGTTGGACGTTTTAAAGTGATTTGCAGATAAACAGTGAATTTCATCTTCATATTCTGATTTTTGTAGCTGTATTTTAATACCTTATGATACCAAGCTAACAATCAGCCTGAGATGGTTAAGAATTTAAAAGTGGTGTCAGAGGAATAACCGATCAATCAATAGTTAGTACACAGGATTAATCGAGACATTTCATCGCATGAGCAGCTGCCTTTTAAATCAGTTCAGATTTCTGAAAACTCTCAATTTACTGGAGATGCTTTGAGTTTCACGGACTGGAGGGGGACATTTTTAAAGGAGAAAGAGTTGTTTTTTTCTTTTTTATATTATCTTTAACATCACAAACCCTGACATTCTATTTCATTTAAGTGACTTTTGAGGTAATAATATAGCAAATCAAACGTATTCATAATTACTTGCTTTTATACAAAATGGACAATTACAGAGTAAACATGTTAAGTCAAAAAATGAGCAGATTGATCAGCAGGTTATCTCACTTTTTGAATTATTCAAGATTATGAACTTCATATCAACAAACAAGTATTTTTTCTGGTTATTCTGCTCTTACCCCAGCTGGTGCTCCGCTGATAGCAGCATGGGCCCGGTCCCGGTCCCAGGGGGCCCCAGGACACCAGGCATCCTGACAGCTCCTGAGTTTCTCCAGCAGTGAAAGTTTCTTTCTGCTGCCCCTCCATGGGATGGCTGTTGTCCCATTAACAGAAGCATGCACTGCCCTGGAGACCAACATATTAACACTATAATGTGCTTGTAGAACATATATACGCACACATTCAGCAACACCAGTCTCCCACTAACAAAGCAACGACTTGAAACCTCTGAGGTGAAACTTAGGTGAACAACAGTCACGGGTGGAAACTTTCAGATTTTTTGCATCTGATGTTAAAATCTTCTGAATTTTAGAAAAAAACATAGAAAATAAGTAAATACATGCTACTCACATGTCTTCCTTTTTCTCAATTAGAAGCTTCTGACCATACTTCAGCGTTCGCTTTCTTGTGCTTCTCTCTCCTTCTTGCAGGGAACGTGTTGCTTAAGAGCTCAAAATACCAGCAGAGCTAGAATAGGAAGTCAACTCTCGTCTCTGCAACACATCCCCAAGAGATTTCCTTTCATAATTTCCACATTTCAGCTTCGTAATCAACAGCCCGAGCTGCTGAGAAGTGTTATTTGCTTTTTTTTTTCCTGTTTCACATATTTCACCTGTTGGAATTTTGTGCAGTTTTGAGTTCCATTAGAAAACTAACAGCAGCTTCTTGTACCCTGCCCTTTTTCTCGACTCAGCCTGTGGTTAACCAAAATTCTGAGCACACTGTGAGCCAAAACTCTGAGAACACTGTGAGCTAAAACTCTCAGCACACTGTGGATTCTGAACAGACCCTGAATGTTCTCTAAAAGCACTGTGGGGTTACATATATATGTGACTGCAGAGCTACAGAAGATTTTAAATCGACAGCTTCTTACTGTTAAAATTAAAAGACAATTTAAAAGAGGTGAGGGTTCAATGACTATTTCTGCTCTTTGTGAGTGCACTGGCAGGCCAGAGCATTAACAGCTCCCTGTGTCACGGAAACCACATGCTCTAAGGCAGCGGTCCCCAAACACCGGGCCGCAAACCGGTACCGGTCCGTGGGTTATTTGGTACCGGGCCGCACAGAAAAAAATATATATGTGTAATTTATCAACAATCAGAGTCTAAGTGATGTTTTATTTTGAAAAATATAAAAACAAAATTGGGGTATTCTCTCCCAATTACATCAGTTGGTGCATCTGTACCTCACGACACAGGTTAATTCAGGTCAAGACGCATCCTATCTATAACATCCTGTCTTTGTGAAGCGGGATTTTCTGCAGTTACAGCGACCAAAACAAAGTTACGGAGCAGACTGGACATTAGGAGCAGACTTCGTTTGTCATTGCCTCCGATCACGCCTAGATGGGACCGGCTTGTTTTGGAGGCTCAGGGCTCCCACTAATTCAACATAATGGTGAGTTTTATTTTTATGCTGTTTGTATTTGATTCTATGCCTGTTGTATCATTTTATTTGATCGCATTTACCGCCCACATTTTAAAGGCCGGTTCTTGAAAATATTGTCTGACATATAACCGGTCCGTGGCGCAAAAAAGGTTGGGTACCGCTGCTCCAAGGTGTTCATAGGGCAATATTTCTGTGGCGAGGATTTATTTTTATTTTTTATAAGTGCTCATCTATAGCATTATCAGAGCAGATATTTGCAGCAACTATGACAAATTGTAAATAAGGACTTTTTGTGACCATCGGAGCTTGGCCTGTTTTTCAGTGTAGTCCTGCTTCTTTCACTGTGACTAAATGTATGTGCTCTCTTTCATCCTATGACATGGGAGCTGGCTCAGAGCTTCTCTGCCTGGCTGTCTTTCCTGGAAGGGGCCGCCTCTGGAGCTGGTTGACTGTTGCTCTTTGTATCACTACTTCATCCATATATCTACTTTTATCTCCTTGAAACCCAGTGGCCTAAGCAGATGGCCAGTTCTACTGAAGATTTCTTCCTGTTAAAGGGGAGTTTTTCCTCTCCACTGTCACTGCATGCACGGTTAAGCGATTTCTCCAATGTTCTCTAAAAGCACCGTGGGGTTACATATATGTGTGACTGCAGAGCTACAGATGTCCTCTGCTGGGGGACTTTAACAACCTTCATATTAAGATAGGATGCCAAGAAAATCAGTCATCTTGCACCATGTGTTGTGCATGTGGGGAAGAAGATTTTAAATTGACAGCTTCTTGCTGTTAAAAGACAATTTAAAAGAGGTGAGGGTTCAAGGGCTATTTCTGCTCTTTGTGAGTGCACTGGCAGGCCAGAGCATTAACAGCTCCCTGTGTTACAGAAACCACATGCTCTAAGGTGTTGATAGGTCATTAATTTTGTCGCAAGAAGTATTTTTATTGCTCATCTATAGCGTTATCAGAGCAGATATTTGCAGCAACCATGACAAATTGTAAATAAGGACCTTTTGTGACCTAAGTAATGATTTATAGAAGATAAGATTCAACTAATATTCAAAAGGATTATGATTCTCCTTGACTCTACCTTACTTATACCTCATCCAAAATACTCTGTTATCCTGAGCTATTTTCTATATTTAAGCTGCTTTATGTTTAGGCTGCTGGAGGACATAGGGACCACTTTTCCTCCTTCTCTTTGATTCTATCTCTGGTCTCTTATTCTTTGCATTTGTTAAATTCAGCTCATAATTTATATTCTCTCTGCTCTTTCCTCTCATTAGAGCTTATTCTAGTCTGTTCCTGTCTGGCTGTGACTTCATCGTGCATAGAAATATCAACTGTGCTGCTGCCATCAACACCTTTGTTTATAATGTTGGAGCTTGGCCTGTTTTTCAGTGTAGTCCTGCTTCTTTCACTGTGACTAAATGTATGTGCTCTCTTTCATCCTATGACATGGGAGCGGGCTCAGAGCTTCTCTGCCTGGCTGTCTTTCCTGGAAGGGGCCGCCTCTGGAGCTGGTTGACTGTTGCTTTTTGTATCACTACTTCGTCCATATGTCTACTTTTATCTCCTTGAAACCCAGTTGGCCTAAGCAGATGGCCGCTAAGCCTAGTTCTACTGAAGATTTCTTCCTGTTAAAAGGGAGTTTTTCCTCTCCACTGTCACTGCATGCACGGTTAAGCGATTTCTCTAATGTTCTCTAAAAGCACTGTGGGGTTACATATATGTGTGACTGCAGAGCTACAGATGTCCTCTGCTGGGGGACTTTAACAACCTTCATATTAAGATAGGATGTCAAGAAAATCAGTCATCTTGCACCATGTGTTGTGCATGTGGGGAAGAAGATTTTAAATTGACAGCTTCTTACTGTTAAAATTAAAAGACAATTTAAAAGAGGTGAGGGTTCAAGGGCTATTTCTACTCTTTGTGAGTGCACTGGCAGGCCAGAGCATTAACAGCTCCCTGTGTCACAGAAACAACATGCTTTAAGGTGTTCATAGGTCAATATTTCTGTGGCAAGGAGCTGTTTTGTTTGCTTAGTTTGTCCAGTTGCTTCAACTTCCCCCCGCAGTAAAAAAAAACAAAAAAAAAAAAACTGAGATGTGTGTAGGCATGGTTATCCTGGTGTTCTCTACCCTACCAATAGTCCAACGACCAACATTTCTTATCCCTCCTTTCTTAAATTAAGCCTGACAAACACTGTAAATGAGGATACCAAGCAAAACATTTTAAAGGAGAATTCCGGTTTTTAACACTTTTAGCCCATTTTCTGTAGTGTCCAGGATGAAATCGAATGATCGACACCAAAATTTTGACAATTGGTCCTGTCTCTGCTTTTTGGCTCATGCAGAATCCCCCCCTGGCTGCTTCAGAATGGCTTCCATTGTGCATGTCCGATAATGTCCTTAAAACAACCTTAAACGTTCTTTTTTTTAAATATGCTACTCACCGGGTCGTCAGCGCTGTTCAATGACGTTCCAAAAAAAGTTTCGTGAAGAAAAACCGTTCCTGTCTTGTTTTATTTAGCATTTTGTAAATCCCAGAACTATTTTTTCCGATACATCACAACCGCTTATAAACTTCCGCTTCCCGTTCGAATCTGAAGCGTTGCACACTCCAGACCACTAGTTGGCGACAATGTCTCTATATACTCCTCCTCAGTATATTCCGGTTCAAAACGGTATCCTCTACCGTCAAACTCAAAGTCCAATATGTCCTCCTCAAGAATCCACCTTTCGTATTCCATTTTCAGAGTTTTTTAAAGTGTTTAACAGAGACGTTAGCACCTCGACGTCGGAGTACACAGAGTGAAGCGAAAAGACTACAACTAAGTGTAAACAGGCCCCATTTCCGTTTCCGGTGGCGGAGGGATATTGACTATTCCAACAGAACTCAATGGGATTTACAAAATGCTAAATAAAACACTACAGGAACGTTTTTTCTTTACGAAACTTTTTTTTGGAACGTCATTGAACAGCGCTGACGACCCGGTGAGTAGCATATTTAAAAAAAAGAACGTTTAAGGTTGTTTTAAGGACATTATCGGACATGCACAATGGAAGCCATTCTGAAGCAGCCAGGGGTGGATTCTAAATGAGCCAAAAAGCAGAGACAGGACCAATTGTCAAAATTTTGGTGTCGATCATTCGATTTCATCCTGGACACTACAGAAAATGGGCTAAAAGTGTTAAAAACCGGAATTCTCCTTTAAATCAGCATTTTTTTTTTTACTCTAAAAAAGAAAGGGGTTTTGATATAAAAAAAAAAAGGTGATTTATTTTTAGGTGCAGTACAGTTTCCAAATCAGCCTAATTCTAGTTCTACTCCTGTCTAGTGCCAATTCAACTCTCATTTTATCAACTCCTGGGATGATTAATTTCAGGCAATGCAAATGTGAATCTAATCCTATATGGAATCTATATTGCATATCACCCTCCTGTCCTGTTCATTAGCTCAAACTGTGTTGGTGGGTTTTTTTTTACTTCTTTTGCTCTCTCTGGTTTAAGAATGCAAATTATATGTTCTGTTTAACAGAAATATAAAGGTGTTTTGTCATGTCCGTCTGAAGCAGCCTTTGTGTTTGACATAAGAACCTTAGCCCAGAGGAACCGTGTTCTCATGGAACAAGAGCACAAAACATGAAATAAGCATTTTCCTTTCTCTATCACTTTCATGTCGGTGATGTTTGTAGAGGAAGCTCATTTTTAAGTGTGAAGAGAAAGCAGCTGTGACTTGATGCAAAAATAGTGCAAACTCTTCACACCTGCTGAGAATATACATGCATTTAGTCCCCCCAGAGGGTTCAGCATCACAGAAATGTAGTGCTAACTGCTTTGTGGAGCAGTAGCTGAGAAAGATCAGACATTGGACAAAAAATACAACTAATACCACATCTAGTAAAGTGAGAATGAATCACTGCCTTAGTTTTGTTCCTGGGAGAGAGAGCCAAAGCAACATTTATAATGGAAAAATATGCTTCCCATTATCTCTATGGATATGACTCCCAGTTGCATCAAAAAAGATATAGAATAGCATAGAAAAGTCCATAAACTTAAGCGGTAGATATAATTATTAAATTCAGGCATAAGGAACTATAAAAAATGGTGTAAAAGGGGTTTCGTTTCAAAGTTGCTTAATTAAAAGGCAAGAGTTTGTGCAATAAATGGATGCAAATCCCTTTACATGGGGAATTACATCTGGAGTACAACAGGGATCAATACTAAGACCAAAGTTATTTAGACTGTACATCAAGTCACCTTTATTTTGATTGCAAATGACAA